TCAACTCCTTCATTTGCAGGACACAGAAAACAAGAATACTCACAGGAAGGTTACCAAGGTCCTAGGAGATACCCAACAGACTGACTCTCGTTAGCAAGGGTCCAATCAGTGTCTATTCACATGGACCTGAACTCACATTACATAACGTGACCCTCCCCAGGATTAGCCACTCCATGTGTATAAGAAGGAAGGACATGTCTTTGTTCCTGAAACAGTCTCTCTATACATATGCTCAGCCACTGTGGAAAGCTCTGCAGTCTACAACTATTCCCCGCTTAATCCTCACCATAATAATGCAGTACAGATGCAATTGCCCCCCCGCCCCCCACAGATGAGGAAACCGGGGGTAGAGGTTAAATGAGACAAGGGCTTTCTCTCCACTATCCCACCATGTAAACACACTGCCTTCTCATTTCAACAAGTTCTATCTTCTCCAGAATCAAAAGGTTGTTACTTGGTCACATAGTTAAGGAGAGACATGCCTAGAAGGGAAACGGAGAAAACAATACAGGCATAGCCCTACACACATAAAGTTACCTTAGTTTTCAATAAATAAAATCTGTTAATACTATGACAACTGAGGTCTTTGTTTTTGTATCGAGGAGGGATTCAACTACACATTTCAGATCCAAACATGTGTTGATGGGTTGGCAGAAAAAGTAGGACAAGGGGGGAGTCGTTCCTTGGCCCCGTCATTAGCGCCCAGGCCCAGGGAGGGGCAGGGCGGTGCTCCTTGTTCAGAGTCCCTTCCTCCTGGCGAGGGCAGGAGACAGCGGAGGGGCTGCCGTGCCCACCTACTCAAGGGCCCCTCTGTCAGGCTGGTACATTAGTGGCTGCCACCACCCTGCTCCTCAAACCTGGCAGAGCCCTCAGGACTCTGAGTTGGCAGAAGAGCAGCACGTGCCACCTGTCTGTGACCCCCGGCCCCTTCCCATCTGTAAGCAGGCAGAGCCAGCCCTGTCCTTGAACCTCCAGCTTCATTCTATCCCAGCACCTGACATCACGGGCCCTCCACAGGGAGAGGCCGGAACCAGGGCAGCAGTTCGGAAAGGGACAGCGTGAACTGGGTGGCCTGTGAAGCGAGAAGGGGACAGAGTGCACAAGGGACCCGGGAGCTGCCAACACGGAGGGGAAATAAAAGGAAGTCCTTGTTCCCAGGCCTCCGGAGCGCCTGGCCTTGGTCCTGCCTGTGGGACACTCTGCAGGGTGGAAAGGACAGGCCTCTGGGCTTGGGCTCAAGTCCTGTCACGTCTTAGTGGCACAGTCCCCATGAGCCCCTTGCACTCACTGAGCCCGTTTCCTCGCCTGTGACATGGGGATGAGAATACCTACCTCACAGAATTCTTAAGAGGCTCAAGAAGCCGCCCTTGAACCCAGTCTGAACTGGGTCCCCAGCTGTCACTCCTGGGCTGCTGTTTTCAGAGCAGGGCTATGGTTCAAGTGCTCTACCCCTTAACAGCTGTGGGGAGTTAACCCTGCTGCACTTCATTTTCCTTATCTGTAAAGTGGAGATAATTCTAGAGTACCTTACAGATTACTAAGAGTCAATGAGTTCCTATAAGCGAAGGATTAGAGCACTGGCCAATACACAGTAAACTGCACATGGGTGGAGCTGTTATTGTTTTCTGATGCTGTCATTCTTGAAATTTAACATCTGCACTAGACTGACGTGCATTCATTCTTATAAACACAGAGCACCTTCCACGTGTCTGACAGTGTTCCAAGCGCTGGGATGCAGTGATGACCAAGACAGACAAGGTCATAGCTCTAGGAGGCTAAGTCCAGTGGGGGAGGCAGAAAAGAAACTATATACGTGAAAGAGACTGTCAAGTACTAACCAGTGCTATGGTAAGACTAAAAGAAGGTGAAGGATTCCCCCAGGCCTGACTGGCGTAAAGGAGCTAGCCATGTAAAGCGGGGGAAGAACGTTCTAGCAGAGGGAACAGTGATACAAAGGCCTTCTGAGTGCGGCGTGTCTGCAGACCAGGAAGGCCCTTGTGGCAGGAACACAGCAAGCAAGGCGGATGAATGGCCCCAAATGAGACCGGAAAGGAGGCAAGAGACAGATCATGCGTGGGCTTGAAGTCAGGCTAGGTGAGGTGGGAGGGCTGGTGGCATGATCTGGATTATATTTTAAATAGATCTGGACACACTTGGGAGTCACCCCATTTTAGGCACTTTTCCAAACAGCCCACAAGTAAGTTACTAATGTTGTCGTCCCTGTGTTACAGCTGTGGGAATCATGGCGTAGAGATTAAATAACTTCCCCTAAGGCATGAAGTTAGATGTGGGGAGCTGAGGTGCAAACCCAAGGAGCCTGACCCCAGAGCCTGCCCGCTCCTAACCACTAACCAACACTGTCTTAGACGGTGGAGTGAGGGCCGAGACCCTGTTTGTATTCCAGGTAGCCCAGGCCTGGTGCAGAATAAGCCCTCCATAAATGTCTGTTGAATGAACGATGTGAAGACACTCTGTACACTGAGAAATGCCATGTCAATATTCTTATTAAGAAATCCTTCAGGTTTTAGAAATTCCAACCATCTCAAGTTCCTTTTTTAATGCTGAACAGGCTCTCCTGGGAAAGGGAACCCAGTGCAGTGAGGACATTTACTTGGTGCCTGAGGTCCTTTAACTAGAGGCACACGGCGGCTCCACAGACCTGGCCTGGGGAAGACCGGAGAGAGGTCTGCGAGCCAGCGGTTGGTCATTGGTCTGGTCGCATCTGGTCCCTGAGGGCCTCTCTAAACGGAGAGAGGAAGTCCCTTTCCCATCTTCTTTCTTCCTCATCTATTTCATTGTCAGTGAATGAATACAGTCAAGCATTTTCCTCCTCCAGGTGGGAAAACATTTAAAATATGGGCGGTCTTGAAAAGGCCTGATATGCATAATGTTTCTGAATGGCTCGAGGTACTTATTCAAGACAAGAGAATGGCCCTGCACTTTCCCACCCGCTTACTCTCCTTGGAGTAATTTATTTGGTTGCCTCCTTCAGTCCCAGAGGGAGGCCGCATGGGACGCTCCCCATAAAATCCAGGACCTTCAGAGTCTCTTGCCCTAGGTCACAGTAAGGAGGGGGGAAGGCCACTGGGGGGCTAGGGAAGCCCCAGGCTGGGAGGGACTCCTAACATGGCAGTCAGTTGGACCCTGGCGCCCTTGCCACTCGATCCCTGGGGCTTCCTCTCACAATGGAGCAAATCCCCCTTTAATGGCTCCCACTCCTCCCAGTAACAAATAACACTTATTCTAACCACAGCCCACAGTGAGTGTTCTTCCATAGATTTATAGCTTCCTTGCTCTTCACAAGTACCTGTGATGGGGGCACCCTGACTTACTTCATGTGACAAGTGAGAACATTGAGGCTCTTTAAAAAAGCAAGACAAGCCCTAGCTGGTTTGGCTCAGTGGATAGAGCGTCAGCCTGCGAACTGAGGGGTCCTGGGTTCGATTACGGTCAAGGGCACAGGCTCTGGTTGTGGGCTCCATCCTCGGTGGGGAGTGTGCTGGAGGCAGCCAATCAATGATTCTCTCTCATTGATGTTTCTATCTCTCTCTTTTTCTCTGAAATCAATAAAAATATATATTAAAAAAAAGAGAGAGAGAGACAAGCTTTAAACTCAGAGAACCTCAGATCCAACCTCCGATCCAAATCTGTGGGGCCCTGGCTGTGGGGGGCTGTTAGGTGCTTTATCTATCCAATCTTCTGGGCCCTGGCTTTATACCCATTTTCTGGATGTGAAAATTGAGCTGGGTGACGGCAACGGACCCGAGTCACAGAACTCAAATCTGGCTGTCACCCAAGGACATCCCTCTCCAGAGTGCCCAGGGCTGGGGCCCAGATGGGGTGGGTGGAGGGGGTGGGCGGAGCCTGCTTTATGGCCAGGGCCACCTCTCCGGGACCGAGAAACGTGGTCTTGCTGTCTCTCTGTAACTCCTTTGAGAACTTTCCAGTCGGTGGTAGGCGCGCGCCGGCGTGGACCTGGGCACGGCTTTGTCTCGCCCACCTGAGGGGCAGGGCCGGGCGGTGTCTAGGCGCCGCCCTGCCTCCATCTGCTGCAGCGGCAGCAGCGCCAGCTCCAGGCTCAAGCCTGTGACCACACCGTAACCCGAGTCCACAGCCGCCTCCATCTTACATCTGGGGACCCTGACACCCCTGACACCCCAACCCCCGTCCTTACAAACACTTCATGGAGCGCCAAGGCTTCCCATCCCCACCCCCCTGTCCTCCTCATCCCCTTCCTAAACTGCCAGCGCCTAGATCCCAAGTGGGCGCAGGACGCAAAGTCAGAGATCTGGACACAGCAGTTCCAGGTCCCGTCCCTCTGCGCCCGGGGCAGGAGCGGGGCTGGGGAATTCCCTCTCATCTGGGCAAACCACAGGCTTGGGGGAGGGGTGCGCGGCGGGCGCCGCAGCCGGACAGAAACCGCTCAGAAGCTCAGAGAGGAGCCATGGAAGCACAGGGAATGGGCGTGCCTGAGTGTGCGTGTATGTGTGCGTGTGTGTGTGTGTGCGCGCGCGCGCACGCGCGCGTGCGTTTTTAAGATCCGGGGTGTAATTCCGCAAAGAAGGTCCAGGAGATGGGGCACCGCTAGTGTGGACAGAGGCTTTGTGTCCAAACACGCGGCGCAGGGAATAACCCGGGGAGCGGGTGGGGTTCCCCAGGCGGGGGCAACTGGAAGCCTCGTGTCCGCGCATCGGGAGGGAACGGGATTCCTCACCCGGACGGGGCGAGTGGGTGTAGGAAGCTCCGGACTCTGGATCCTGCGGGAGGGTTCGTGCGGGGCGGGCCGGGCCGGTGCGCGGTGCTTTGGGGTCGCGTCCCTGAAACAGCCCCCCGAAGCCCGGCCCTCCGGATCCTAAGGGCGCCCCTACCCGCCGCCCACCCGCCCCGCCCGGAGCCTGATACCGGAGCAGCGGGGTGCGCGGCGGCGCCCGGTTACGCCCTCCCACCTCGCGCCCCGCAGCCTCCCTCGCGCGGATGCGGTCCCTCCCACAACCACTCACAAAATTGTCCCCGCAGCCGTTGTCCGGACACAGCACGTAGAAGGAGACGCCGGGGTCGGCGTAGAAATCCATCCTGCGCTCGGTCTCCTCCGTGGCGATGAGCTCGAAGGGCGTGTTGGAGCACCATTTCTCCGCGACGTCCGCCAGCTGCTGGAAATCCATCCTGCCCGCCGCGCCCTCGCCTCCTCGCCGCCGCCTCCCGCTCCCTCCGCCTCCCGCCCGCCCTCCTCTCCTCGGCGTCCTCCTCCCGGGCCGGCAGCGCGCGGCTCCGCGGGCTCCGGGGCTGGCGGCGGAGCCGGGCGGGCGCGGAGTGCCCTGGTCCGGGCTCCTCCCGGCGGCTGTGTTTACATGCTGAGTGTAACGGGGTGGGGCGGCGGCCCCGACCGCGCTAGCCGCGCCCGGCTCCGCCCCGGCCCGCCTCCCGCCCGCCCCCTTTCGGGCCGCCTCGGAGGCTGGCACAGACCGCACGGGGCGCCCGCTGCAGCGGGGTGGAGCGGGGTGGGGCGGGGCGGGCCCAGGAGCTCCGCGGGCTCCCCAATACCAACCCCCCTTTTAAATAAAGGAACCTGGAGCATCCCGGGGCCTTGGCGAGGCCGGGGCCACCCCGGGCTGTGACGTGTGGGCCCCAGCCAATCACTGGAGTCTGAGGCCTGCGTCCCGGCTTGCGAGTGGGGTGATGTCTCAGCGCGGGCCCCACACCCGTGGCTTCCCCGGCTACAGTGCAGCAGAGCAAGCTGGCGGTCCCTGTCACCGCTTCTCTGGAGTGAAAAGGCCAGGAAAGCGCTTTCACGAATGCGATTTAAGTGCAGGGACAGCTACAGAGTCGCAGATAACTTGTCCCTTGTGTGAGGCCAGCAGCGGAGGAGCTGAGAAAACCTAAGGGAACACTGCGCTTTTCTATTTCAGAATCAACGCGCTGCCCTCCAATGGAGGCAAAGAAATGTTTCCCCAAATACACTTACTAGACACTGATCTGAGCGTCCATTTGGAAAGGAAAAGGACCCCTCCCCCCCAAGCATAAAGCTGAGTATTTCTTAGAAATAAGCCTCATGAGACTGTCTTGACTAGTATTCAGCTTCACTTCGTAGTGCATAACCTAAAACGATCAGCTGCTAGTTTGGAGAGAAGTACATTTTAAAACAAGAGTGCGTGGCCCAACAACCGCACCTGTTGAACGCTCGTTGGCTGCCCGGACTCGACAGGCATTGCTGGATTGCAGAAAATGCGCTGGAGAGAGCCCTCGCCCGCAGGAATTGAATGACTACCAGCAATGACACTTAAATAGCATTCATTCTACAAACATTCCATCAGCTTTTATTTTTAAAGTTTGTCTTCTGAACCAGGCACCGTGCTAGCCCTAGGGATATAAATGTGAATATGAGGCTCCTCCCTCAAAGGGCTACCAGATTGGACAAGGGAAGCTCATGACATATGAACACACCCTTTACTCAATAGTAAAGATGTGAGTATGGAAAGTTTTCTCTTGCACATTTCTGGAATAGGAATTCTTTTTTTAAAAAATATGTTTTTACTGATTTTAGAGATAGAGGAAGGGAGACAGAGGGAGAGAGATAGAAACTTCGATGAGTGAGAAACATCAGTTGTCTGCCTCCTGCATGCCTCCTACTGGAGATGGAGACCGAACCCATGTCCTGACCTGGGATCGAACCAATGACCTCTTGGTTCAGGGGTTGATGTTCAATCACTGAGCCACACTGGCCAGGCTGGAATAGGAATTCTTTTCTCCTTGACTTACCTTAATAAATCAAACCTGCCTTCCTACAGTGAACTGAGGTATGTACCCTTGACCGGAATCAAACCCAAGACCCTTAGTCATCGGGCTAACGCTCTATCCACTGAGCCAAACCAGCCAGGGTGGGGCCTGGATTTTTGCCATCAAGGAATTTACAGACTGTAAACCATGCGGGATTCTAAGGCCACCAAGATCCCTGCCCTCCTGGTGTACACACCCTCCCAATTATTCAATCAAACACTAATTTATAATGTCAACAATAAAAAATAAATTAAAAACACACTAATCTAGATACTGCTCTGAGGGATTTTCCCCATTTAATTAAGATCTCAAATCAATTGACCTTAAGATAGGGAGATTGTCTTTGGTGGGCCTGGCCTAATCAGGTGAGCCCTTAAAAGGAATCGGGCTCTTCCTGGAGAGAGGTTCAAAGTATGAAGTAAATTCATGATCAAAGAATAGAAACCCCACTAATGGCTTTGGAGATGGAAAGGACCACCTGGCAAGCAGTCTAGGATCTGAGAGCAACAGCCAGCAAGGAAATGAGACTTCGGACTTCGGTCTTAACTACAAGGAAATGAATTTGTTCAAAGACCTGGATGAGCTTCCAAGTGGATTTTCCACGGAGCCTCAGTCTGAATGACACCATGATTTCAGCTTGGGGAGACCCTGAGCAGAAAACCCAGTTATGCTGTGGCTGAGCCAGAACTTCTGACTCACAGAACACGGAGCTAAGAAGTGGGCGTTGTCTGAAATTGCTGCTTGTTTTCATTTGTCATGCAGCAGAAAACTAATACATAGGACAAAGGAGGAGGCCAGCACATGACTTGAAAAATTCAATATGCTATTGAACGGTTACTGAGCCAGAACTTCTGACTCACAGAACAGGGAGCTAAGAAGTGGGCGTTGTCTGAAATTGCTGCTTGTTTTCATTTGTCATGCAGCAGAAAACTAATACATAGGACAAAGGAGGAGGCCAGCACATGACTTGAAAAATTCAATATGCTATTGAACGGTTACAAAATGTTCCTTCCTTTCTCTCTCTCTCTCTCTCTCTCTCTCTCTCTCTCTCTCCCTCTCTCTCTCTCTCTTTCTCTTAACATGAGGACCTCAAGATAGAGCAAGCTTCTTGCAATCTTACCTTGTTCTGTCATAAAGCATACACAGTAGTCTGGAAGTTCCAAAAATGAAGAGATGCCTTACATTTGAGACTAAAATACAGAAAATATATAGCTTTTCTTCTTTTTGGAAAGTGGAGAGTTTTAAAAAATACTGTGTGTTTTAAAATCCATCTATCAAATTTGCTCCAAGGGATGGATGACCATAATTATAGTCACATTTATTCAACAAATGCTCTTGTTAGAAGATGAAAAATTCTCATGATGAGAAAAAGAATTCTGGGTATAATGCCATTGCTTCAAGAATTGAACAAATGCTGGTTTTCCTTAGAAAGACATTGCATTAAAGAGCAGACATTATGGCGTTCAGGGTTGATTCCTGCCTTTACATTGCTAAGTTTTGCATACATCTGCAACTTATTTAATTGCCCCAAGCCTCCATTTTCTCTCCTGAAAATGGAGAATAGTGAGGTGCAGTGTGTAAAGGCCCTATCCCAGAACCTGGCACATACTAGTAGTGACAACCCAGGAATTGCCATTATTACTCTTCAGCTGCTGCTTGGGAGGAAATGATTTGTAGGAAGATCAGCTGCTTAATTCCAAGAGTAAAATTCAGGAGGGACATGAGGGTGTCAGCACGGTGAGTGCTGGTCACAGATGAAGAGAAGCCTCTTTTTTTTTGAATGGAGCAGAGTTTTCAACAGCAGCATTGTCAACACGTGGGGCTGGATAATTCTGTCTTACAGGGACGGTCCGTGCATTGCAGGATGTTTAGCAGCACCCCTGGCTTCCCCCCACTAGCCAATAGCCTCACCCTCCAAGCCCCCCACCATTGTGATGAAATGGGAATTTTAGGGGGGAATATAGGCAGGTTTAGGAAATTTTAAAAAATTAAAGCGGTCCATGGAAAAAACACAGGGCTACAGACTGGGAGAAGTTACATTTCCATAAGACAAGGAAACTGGAAGTAGCAAAAGGTCTATATTTACAAAATAAAGGAGGAAGAAAGCCCAGAGGGAACAGGAGAACAAGGAGGGAGGAGGGCCCCACACTTCCCAGGTGAGGTTTTGACCTTTGAGCTCAGAAGTTACTACAGTGACCAAATCAAAGGGGGATAGTGGCCAACCAGAAGGGATATCCATGCACAGAAAACTGCAGCCTTGATAAACTGTGGGAGAAGGGACGGGGTGGGACTCTTTCCCCCTCCCCACCTGGGAGTCTGTGCTGTGAGATTCTTTCTGCTTCCCCACGTGGGAGTCTGGACTTGTTCTTCAATAAATTTCCACCTTTGCTTAATACTTTAAGCAATAAAACAAAATTTAAAATAAATAAATAAAATATAAACTTTGTAAAACCAAAAAAAAAAAAAATTTGCTATACCATCTTCCGCCCGTGGATTCATTCTTCGACTCCAACGGACAAAGAATCTGGGGAACGATTCCACCCAGGGGAACACATGTTCCAGTCCAAAAATCCCGTATCAGTGACACCCCAAAATGTTTCCGGAAACTGCCAAATGTTCCCTGGGGGGCAAGATTGCCCCCATGTGAGAACCACAGTTTAGAGAGGAAAGCCGTGTGCACTTTTGTTTCTGTCGCTTTATTGAGTAACCGAGAGAGTGACAGCGTGGACACTAGTGGGGAGAGTGCTCCTACAGAAGTCACCGGCACCTGGGAAAAGTCAGCTGCTTAGACATGCATTCAGGCTTCAGGTACTGGTCGTCCCAGAAACACAGCTGGGTCTGTTGTGTAGCCTGAAGGTGAAGAAGCATCAGGGCCTCCAGAGCCCCTTCTTGGGGGTTTTGCCTTGGGCCATTGTTTGGAAGTAAAAGGAAAATGAAAATGCTCCCCTGCTGGTTGAGAATTGGGCCGTCTTCACTGCATTTAGAGAAATGTCTCTTCCTTTACAGCAGTGGTTCTCAACCTTCCTAATGCCACGACCCTTTAATACAGTTCCTCATGTTGTGGTGACCCGCAATTTCATTGTTACAAATTGAACATAACTAAAGCATAGTGATTAATCACAAAAACAATATGTAATTATATATGTGTTTTCCGATGGTCTTAGGCGACCCCTGTGAAAGGGTCGTTCGACCCCCAAAGGGGTCGCGACCCACAGGTTGAGAACCGCTGCTTTACAGGAATCTAGACGTGGCTCTGAATCATTGTTGTCTCTGGGAAGAGAAGGACTGTTGAAACCCCAGCTGGCTGGGAGGTCTCAGGAGCCCACCCTAGCTTCTCCTGCTCACCTCGACTCTTCCACTAACACGCCCCCTCCCCAAGTCCTCTGTGGCTTTTATTCTAGTGTGACCTCAACATGATTGTATCTTTTATTTACTCCACATTGTCTTTTCAGTAGCCCTGCCCTCTGGTACATCTGCTTCCCCCACCCAGCCCTGTGGTTATGTGGTCTGAGGAATCAGGCAGAAAAGAAGTGTGGCCACACTTACC